TCGCTTCACGTTTGAGAGCATTGGCTGATCAGTTGACCATGAGATTTCATTTCTCATCAGGAAAATCCATGGCTGTGATTTACTGCTGTGTGTTTTAATGTGCTATTTTCGTAACTGTCGCAAGGACGTTTATATGATGTATAAATGAACGAGAGTTGTGTGCTTGATTGTTTGTAGTATACTTTCTACGCTTACAAAGCCTTCTGTCTTCAGCTTGGAATTCAAGGTAGCCTATCTGGACGCTGGTAATTGTCTCGTTCGCGTTTATCAACTAAGGTGAACTCGTAATAGCTTCAAACGTACCTAGTGACGAATATATCAAATATAACTTTAAAGCTTTATCGTCAATATATATTTTTACAAAGAATTTTCAGTTTTGTAATGAACTAACATCTTCAGAAGACCGACAGAAACACAATAAAATATTTCCACTGTTTGCTTTTCTGATGATTTTCAGACTTATCGTTAATGGGTAACCTAGTATCTGGATTTCATTCGATGTGGTGCTCATGAGCAAGGTTTGCCTGTAGTGCTGAGGGAGCTGATGATCCTAGATCAATTCGGTCTCGTGTCACCCAAATTCACAGTCAAATACGTTACTTCAGAGTTTGCTGAATAGCGCAATGGTGATTTCTCTGACTGTGGAGCTGATTGACGCGAGATTGAATGCATTTAGGAGCGTCAGTCCTTTCAAGATTACAAGTACGTCTTGCTTAGATATGCTAAATAGCACCAAACCAACGTTCAGGTCTTCTTATCGACTATCTCTGACCACTACCTTACATAGACGATATTGGTCGCTACTTAATGATCAATCAATCACTCGTCAAACAGTTGTCTTGTAAATTGAATATTTTAACTACTTCAAAAAATAAATCGAAGATTGATAGGAAATAAAATACAATTCAGATTTTTCTCCAAATAAAGATAGGTTTTATTAAGATTATTGTAAAAATATAAATTTAATTTATGCGCATGATTAATTTTTAATGAATAAATAAATCATTAACTATTTTTTTTATCCCTTTTCTGTCAAAAAAAGATAAAAATAGAAGAGAATTGAAAGATTTACATTCGTTTCTTTAACGCTTTTCATAACTAGAGTCTAAGACTCACATCTGTTATTCCAAAATACCTTGCTCTCTCCAATCTATTTTATTTCAAGATGAGTGTAACAATAATATTCATCAACTGAAATCCTGGATAGAGCTATCCATTCGGTTCATGGTTAAAATTCTGTTGAAAACTAATTTTAAAACGATTGAATGGGCAAAGTTTCTTGTGAATATTCTAAATTAACCAAATACCAAAATGAAGAACTTCTAAAAATCTATCTGAACGGTTCAATTGACCGAAAATGAATGATAAGCATAATTTGATTTCAGTGTACAATTTAACTGAAGGAGGAAAAAAGGTTTTGCGACTAGTTGAGTTCAACCAAATAGTGTCATTGTGGTGGTAGCATGAGTGGTTATACACTGTTGGAGAGAAGAAACCAGATTCAAACAGATGTGGGAATTAGGAAAAAGCGCTGCAGCTGGACTGAAATCACATTGAGAACAGAACTCAGCTGCGTCACATGACAAGCCCTTATTTGGGATCCTGAAGGCCAAAGGGAAAGAGGTAGAACAAGGAACACACTAGGTCGAGAATCGGAGACAGACATGAAGAGAATGAATGGTAATTGGGTAGAAGTGTAAAGGAAGGCCCAGGACAGAGTTGATCGGAGAATGCTGGTTGGAGACCTATGCTCCGTTAGGCGTAACAGGTGTAAGTTAGTAAGTTTAACCCTAGTAAGTAGATGAATTTATCAAGGTCACTTCAACGTCACTTAAAGACAGTCCATAAGTTTTGGTCTCATCAGATTTTGTTAAGAAAATATCCTTGAGACAATTCCTAAACTATTCAAATCAGTCGACTGAACAATCGTCCTTATTATAATTCTCAACAGTTTATGATTTTCGGAAGATGAAATAGAGTAGACAGAATATTTCATTTTGACAAACTGCTCTAATTACATGGACAGTAGGCATAATAATAAAGAATGAATTGAACAAAAAGAACTGCATGAAAGAATATTAATTAACAGGCAAATATGTAGGTGTATGAGAATATTCCCATTGACCGTTTAATACAATTAATAAATAAACTAGTAAGCGTAATAAATGTGTAGGCTGACAAACAGATACAATCATTCATACTCATCTCTAAACATGTATGAATATATATATACAAAAATGCAGGTGACTTATCATGAACTAAAATAACACACTATAATGACAAGTTAGTTGATTCATAGGCTTAATTAATTTGAATACAAACAAACTTATAAGAAGTTTATTTAGTTATTGTTACTATCTCGCTAATCTGTTTTTTTTTAACGCGGATACAGACTTTGGTTATTGTAATTAATCTACTTATAATTACTATCTTAGTTACTCATCACTAATTCAATAAGTGAATAAACCATAGTGTTGCGCTTGTCTCCAGGTATGCTTAAGCTATTATGAGTTCACCTTAGTCGGATAACGAGAAAAAAACAATAAACCAGCGTCCAGGTAGGCTACTGTGATCTCTTGACCAAATTGTACCAGCGAGAAGTGTAGAAATTGTACAGCACACAATGAAACCAAGCATTCAAATTGCGTTTATTTATACTTGGGACAGTCACAAAAATAGCACACTAAAATGACACAGTAACCAATCACAGCTAAGGATTTTCCTGGTGAGAAATGCGATCTCAAACCAAAATAAAGACATTTATCAAGCGAGTTCTAACACCCCCAACACGTAGACATTTATGGTAAATGATACTAAATTCGAATCTTAGCATGAATTGGGGAACACTGGAATGAAAGTTCATCTGAAATAGAATAAAACGCATAATCTACAATACCACCACTAATAGCTGTTATCTAATTGCTTTAATTTTTTTTTAGAAAAATACAACACTTACTACACTTTGATTTTAACAGTGCAATGTTTATATTGTGAATTACTATCAAAATTATGATAGAATATACTTCATAATTGACATTAGAACCTGTTGAGATTGAGTTGATGACTCATCATGATTGAATAAGATTATTTATTGTAAATTTTCATGTGAAATATCATTAAATTAAGGAAGTGAGCTATTTTAGATCAGATAAAATTTGAAAGTTATAACAGTTTTTCTTTAGTCAAAACGAAAATTGTTTTCTAAAATTGTATTGCAAAATTTATTGAAAAAAAAAACAAACAAAACATTGAAATAGTGAAGAAAATCTGTAGCTCAGGTGGATGATCACGGTGGTGGACGTTTCGGTAGTGGAAATTTCTCCTTGTTCTTCTGAACAACATCATCAGCACAAACTTAAAGTATTCGAGTTTCTCCGATCAAGATCAAGGCCAACAGGACAAACTACGAGTCATAAATGGAGAAATCCGAATGCTTCACTTCGACTTGAAGTTTGCGCTGATGATGTTGTTTTCAAAAGAACAGTGAAAGTTCCACAACCAAAAAAACATCCAGCTCAGAGACAGAAAAACTCCACCATAATCATTCACTTGAGCTACACATTTTCTCCAACATCTCAACATACATAACATTCTAATTGAATTTTGACTAAACATTTCGTCGAGTCTGGTCACGTGTACACTTCATCATTTATCATGATGTTTTATTGTGTTAGGTCTGAAATAATAATAATAATAATAATAATAATAATAATAATAATAATAATAGAAAAATTCACCCAGGAAATGAAAAATTAAAATTTGATAGTCGAAAATAAAGTTTAGTTTTTGTCAATTGGTCGATTTGCTCAATGGGTGATATAATATCTTATGTAAATATTAATTTTATTTGACTGTCTTAAATATCATCCTTAATTCATTAAAGTCAAGGCTAACCAGTTGACATCTATATCATAATTTAAATCAATAATGATGTTTGCGTGCTCCAAATGATTCGTTCGATTTCTATGGGAAATTTAAAGCGAAAAAAAAGAATAGTTAATTGTCTCTTTTCATATATTGTATAGTTCGTGTGGTTGAAAAAAACAACACATGATGAACATAGTTCCCAAGTTTTATGCTCGTCAATTGATATGCTTGAAACTATTACGAGTTCATCTTAGTCGGTAAACGAGAGCAACGACAAATGATCCAGTGACACGACAGGCTACTCGAATCTGAGCATCCCAAGGCCCCACTATGTAAAAGAAGAAGTGTTGATATGGCGTAGAAAGTGTATTATACAAGTAACCAGAAAATCGAGTTTACTTATACATCATAGAAACGCCCTTGAGAGAGTCACAAAAACAGCCTACTAAAATAATACATCAAACAATAACAGACAAGGATTTTCCGGGTAGGAAATGAAATCTCAAGGTCAACTGATCAGCCCATGCGCTAAAACATATAATCCAAAATTAGGACCTTTATCTCAAGTGAGTTCTGGGGATCTAAGGTCCCCAACACAAACTCATCATTTTTGACATTAAAGATAAAGTAAATGATTTTCAAGTGTAACTTATTCACTCTTGTGGCAGTGAATATTCGATATGATTCCTGAATTTCCTATACTGCTCATCCTGACGACCGATACTAGAGATAACGCCCAACGTTGTTTTAAAATTCAGAAGACGAATATGAAGCGTTGATGACGTCATAACTCAACACAAAAACATACAAACGTTCTATTCACTTTTTTTATTGGTTATGCAATTCGCACTATCCTACCAGAGTATCTAGTGATCAAATTTTATTATTCAGCAAACATTTAATTTTTCGACAACTTCAATTCAACCGAATAGAAACTACCATAGTAATTGAAACTCAATCTCCTAAATTACACCAATTGCGTGATGATCAGTAATGTCACCTTACTGTTAAATCACTATATGTATGTAGAGAGGTATTAAGGTTTAAAGTTATGACCTATTAGCCATAGAGATATAGGAATGTCATTACATTTTCCACACAGAAATTTGATAGTATTGATAAAATTCAACAGATAGATCAATAACTGTTTATTTACAGATGAATACTCACTCAGACAAATAAATGATTTAAATAAATCAACAACAACAAAAATGTAACTACAATAATTTTCTATCTATACAAATCACTGTTTCTACTAGTATTCTGTTTTGAATTAAAAATTTGATGTATAGGCAAACCCATGGATGATAATAAATTAGCAGCAGGACCTGCAGGTTGCAACTGAAGGTGATTCGATTGATCTGTCATAGAAACACCCAAGTTACGTGAAACATATTGATCCAATTCAGAATCCGATGTTTTTACAATGCTTTCCGATGATAATGATGCTACATCATCTGACTCGGAAGAATTATCAAATTCTCGATCAACAAAATCTTCAGAAGCATTTATATCCTCTGGTTCGGCAAGTTGAACATTTCCACGTGGTTTCTACAAATCGTTGAGAAAAGAGAAATACATGTAAAATCAGATTTGAAAAGGAAAGTGTAGAGAATGTGTGTAGATGTGTTGAGAGTGAGTGAGTTTTAATTTATTTTTTATTATGAAATAAAATAACCCGATTCATCGGAAAAGAACAACCCAAAATTTATTTACTGAAATGATATATGATCTCGCTCAGGACATCAAAATGACCATACCTGAAAATAATTTTTTTTCCCAAAAACTTACCCAAACTAATGAATTATACATTTGAAATCATTAATCAATCATCATTGTTAGACCACCATTAGAAACCTGGAAGCACTGGACGGCCGTTTCGTCCTAGTATGGGACTCCTCAGCAGTGCGCATCCACGACTCCTGCTCCTCGCAGGATTCGAACCCGGGACCTTTGGCATTGTAGGCGAACGCCTTACCATGAATTATACTGATAAACTGTAACATACGACCGAATGAAACAGTCTGTAAAAGCATGCAAATACAACCAAAGTAAATCTCAATCATAACGATAATAATCATCACTTAGTTTTTGGAAAGACAATTAATAAAAATCTCCAGATGTCACCCTTTGTGCTTTATCAGATAAAAATTCCAAACAGTTCAAATCAAGTATTGTTATACACTGTGCTACCAGTACATGAACACAAAATAAATCCTGACAAAAGACCAGATATCTTAATTGAATAACCGTTTATGAAATAAAGATTTAGTGTATTTTCATCTAAACAGAGGTGTTAACATTGTCCTCAAGGTTGTCCTCGAGGTTATATTGATAAATCCTTTACTACAACATTATACGTTAGTAAGTTCTGTAAGGAAATCACCAAAAAGGATACGATTGATCAAACTGAACAGAACTTTAAAAATAAACTAGTCAGTAGTGACTTATTATAATACCTAGGATCGTACAGGTCTACTAACTCACGACCGTATGGAATTTCGAAATTACATAAGGAAGATAAGACTTTTGACCTATATGGGATATGAATGATTCTCCATATCTTGTAGTTCATAAATATCTGGTAGAAATCCTATAATCGAGCGAAAATAAGATTACAAACACGACATTTTCGACTCACGTGCTCCCGTCGATTTAATAGTTGACATGAATATGTCTAGAAAGATACGGTTATTGCCTCTCTCCCTTAACAGATGTAGCTCTGACAGAGACAAATTACTTTTTGTATATAATGAGAAAGTTAAAAACATCAGCATTCCAAAACACCAATTATAGAAACTACTCCTTCGTCATATTTCCAATAAGCAACTCAGATTTGACGATGAGTGTTACAGACAAATAGATAAAATTTCCAATCACTTCTCTCTTAGTACACTAAGTTGTAACAATTTAACAATTTTATATTGTTATATATTATCCTGTGTAAAAAAAGTAACCATTAATACAATCGTGTGACTTCAGTCAGTAATATCGTTGTGTATAGAAAACATTGTTCGCTTAATGCTAATTAAAATGTAATGTAAAAAATATGTATCAGCAAAGAATGGGTGTTTTCTCCACGTAGTGTGCACAAACTATTAAAATGATTTAAAAGTATACACAACTGTAAGTATTTGTGACTTTATTTATACGATTAGGTGAGTTATAACACTTAAAATATAACTCATATGGTTACTAGTGATCATAAGGTTATAGGATCTTTTATGAAAATAGTAAAAGTAGTAGAGATTCGAATGCTTGACTATTTATAAAGGCATAGAGAATATAAATGTATTGGCTCATAGATTTTATCAGAAATCTCTCAAACACACTGATTCGTTCATCATAAGCATTCTAGGATACTTTTACTCTATCAAGAATCTTTAAAAAATGTTTATAGACAACTGATCGTATTATGCTGCTACCTTGACGTGGTGGTCGGACATGCCTATCGTGATGACCCAACCGAGCTATACTGGCTGTAACACATGTTCCTGCAGGTCCTACCATGCCAGGCTGGTCGATTGGAGAACGATGAGACTAAAAGCAGCTACTCAAGGTCTGAGGGCGAAGTCGTACTGCTAACTGCAGAGGGGTGTGACAGCAGTAAGGTGTTTCCCTCGGACAACCAGCATCTGCAGCGATGCTGCCTTCTCACAAGGAAGGAAGGGTTAGAAAAGGTCGACCCTAAAAACGTCACACCTCCCCTAACTCACGGATTTCCGTCACCGTCGGTAAGGGTGCCCACTAAGGGCCTTTAAGAACGGAGCTAATCCTCAAAAAACGTTTCATAAAAAGGCCGTGCGTGACCGGCCTCAAGCAGTTGTCCCTTGGACTCTGCGGTCAAGCAACCAGGTCTCCGAGACCAACACTAATCTATCTTCCTTTTTAGGTCCCTCAAGAAACAACCTTCCACGGTGTGGGCAGCCGGGAAGTGACAACCGCCCTCATACCCGCAACAGCACACGAGACCAAATTGTTCAAAATCAAATCCTTCCTACATTCCCTGATACCTCTCTTATCTCCACAACTAACTCTTCTCACATTCATTTATCACAGTGCACAGCTAATGCAAACGATGCGAGTTCGCGAAACGTCGTTCCTGGTCTCCTTAAACCCCGTTCCAAACTACATGTTGGAGCTTTTAATGTACGGACATTGTGTCAAATATGGCAACAGGCATCATTAGCTAGGACTTTAGAATCTCGTTCCATCGATGTGTGCTGCGTCTCGGAAACGCGCATACAGGATCCGAGTAGCATCACTCACTTGACCTCACCATGTCAAGATAAAGAAGCAGCTCGATTTACCCTTCGTGTATCCGGTAGCCCTGATGCTGCTTCCAGGGGTCTCGCCGGTGTAGGTATAGCATTAAGTCGTACGGTAGAACAATCTCTCCTTGACTGGATCCCTGTAGATAGTCGCTTGTGCGCCGTCCGACTGAACCGGACAGTAAGGGCTCGGAAAAATAGGGACACTGGTCGTTGCCTCTTCGTCATATCAGTCTACGCCCCCACTGACTGCAGTTCAGACGATGTAAAAGATGAGTTCTACAGAAAGCTTTCGGACCTCCTCCAAAAAGTTAAGCGCTCTGATATAGTTATAATGGCTGGTGACTTCAATGCACAAGTAGGTAGACTAAGTGAAAATGAAAGACACCTAGGTGGATGTTACGGTCTCGCGGTTCAAAGAACAGACAATGGCGACCGTCTGTTGCAACTGTGCTCAGATAACCAACTATTTCTAGCAAACACTAATTTTAAGCATAAGGTAAAACACCTTTTGACCTGGCGACCCCAGAAGTCGTCTCAACGTTGGACACAACTAGATCATATCGCCATCAGCCACCGATGGAGGGGTTCGATAGAGGACTGTCGCTCGTTCTGGGGCACATGTTTAGATTCAGATCATGCCCTAGTGCGAGCACGTATTTGTTTGAGCCTGCTTGATGGACGTAGGAAAGACACCGTAAGCAAGCCTCTTAGGGCTTCACTTGATGATAATCAAGCTAAGAAAATATTTCAGGAGGAACTAGAAAAACAGTTAGGTGGCCATGCAAGTGATTCCCATCCTGAAGCAGGTTGGAATCATATCAAGAAGGCTGTGGAAACAGCAATGGTATCTGCTAGCAAGGTAAACCACAAGGCTAGGATGAAGCAGTGGATTTCAGTCGCATCCACCGAACTGATGGATGCGCGAAAACGCATCCCACCTGACTCTGAACATGATGAAGAGCGTAGTCAGCTTAGGCGCAAACTTATAAAAAGTCTACGTAACGACCGTGAACAGTGGTGGGTGGCGAAAGCAAAAGCGATGGAAAAGGCAGCGGCGATAGGCAACACTAGACAACTTTTCCGCCTTATTAAAGAAACCGGTATTAGGAACCCGAATGTGAGTGAGACTATCTCGGAAAAGGATGGGATTATTATCCATTCTCAATCTAGGAGGCTGGACCGATGGGCAGAACATTTTAGGGATCAGTTCAACTGGCCTTCAGCCACACTTCGGTTGCCCACGATCTCCAGTCATCCTGAATGGCAAATCGATTTAAGTCCTCCCAGTTTACATGAAGTTGAGAAAGCTATAGGAAATCTAAGGGGAGGTAGAGCGGCAGGTCCCGACAGGCTTACCCCTGAAATGTTTAAGGATGGTAGTCCAGTTTCGACGGTTAGACTGACCGAGATCCTAGGTAGAATCTGGGAACTGGACGTAATTGCATATGACTAGTCTCAGTCGCTAATTGTCCCAATCTACAAGAAAGGACAGAAGTCCTCTTGTGACAATCACAGGGGAATAAGTTTAACTAATATAGTTTCTAAATTGTTAGCCTCGATTATACTTAGACGTCTAACTAGAGCTCGTGAAGAGCAGACTCGAGAAAACCAGGCTGGTTTTCGACCTGGACGTGGTTGTATAGACCACATCTTCACACTACGACAGGTCCTGGAACACAGACACACATTTAGGCGTCCTACAATAGTTGTTTTCCTGGACCTAAAAGCGACATTTGACTCAGTGGATCGTGAGGTTCTGTGGCAGTGTCTGTCATTGAAAGGTGTACCAAATAAGTACATTAACCTCATACAACACTCTACTCGAACACCACTGGTCGGGTGAGAGCATATGGCGAACTGTCATCTGAATTCTCTACATCAAGTGGTGTCCGTCAGGGCTGTCCACTCTCTCCATTCTTGTTTAACTTTGTCGTAGACATCCTCTTAGAGTTAACATTAAGCTCGTCAGATTTTTCAGGGGTTGACCTTCTACCAGGAAAGTCGCTTACTGATCTAGAATATGCCGATGACATAGCTCTATTCGGTGAAGACGCTGACAAAATGCAGAGTCTTCTGACTACCATAAGCAACAATGCGAGCATGTTCAGGATGCGGTTTTCCCCCTCGAAATGCAAAATGTTGCTTCAAGACTGGATTGCATTGGCACCTGAACTAGTGATAGGGAGTGAAGTAGTCGAGCGAGTAGACCGCTTCACTTATCTGGGGAGTCTCATCAGCGCTGATAGACTGGTGACTGACGAAATCTCAGCGCGAATACAGAAACCTCGATCGGCTTTTGCCAACCTGCGTCACTTATCGCGTAGGCGTGATATCCGTTCGCTAACCAAAGGGCGGGTGTACTGCGCAGCAGTTCGTTCCGTTCTCTTATATGGCTGCGAAACATGGCCGTTAAGAGTAGAAGATGTTCGTAGGTTACTAGTATTCGATCACAGATGTTTAAGAAGCATTGCTCGTATATCGTGGGACAGCCGAGTAAGCAATGCTGTCGTTAGGAAACGAGTTCTAGGTGAGGATGGCAGATCAATAGATGAAGTGGTGAAACTTCATCAGTTGAGGTGGTTGGGACATATCTTGCGTATGCCGAACCACCGACTGCCCCGACGAGCTATGTTTTGTGGTGTAGGAGTAGGTTGGAAGAAATTTAGGGGCGGCCAAACCAAAACATGGCACAAATCCATGAAGTCACTGACAAGTGGACTGAGTGATGTTGGTAGATGTAGGCTACCTGTTTGGGGTCTGCGAGACGAAAGTCACTGATGGTTAAAGATGTTGAACGACATGGCTCAAAATCGTTTGCAATGGCGCAGGTGCATCCATTCTTTGAGCTCTCTCAAATCCTAATCTTCTGGATTAGCCAGCACCTCTACCTTTGTCTTTCTAACCTTATCTCAATGAATTATATTTCTTGAATAATATCTTCCAACCCTAGTCTTCTTTATTACCATTAATACCTCTACTATCTTTATCACTACGGGATTTGATTTGACATTTGCGTCTCTGTGTTAATGTGGTATGGCAACATGAACTTATGTACATACGTACGAAGTTCTACGTTGCAACTGACTGACTGATCGTATTATGCATTTTTTTCTTTGAATGTTTAACTCAAACTGTTGCACATAAATATTGGATTTTTTTTTCTGCCTATCCTCGACATGTTTACTTAGTTTATATTGTTAATTTTTCTCGAAGATTCACATTTCTACTTATTAACGCCTATTTTTCTTTGTTTTCATTCGATTATTCAATAAATTAACAAGTTAATTATCAACTCTAAAACTACTTACTTCATTCAACTATTTTTATCGATCTTAATGACGTACAACTAATAGGCACATGCTAATTAAATCAATATCTCCGTCTATGCGATTTAATGTAGATGACAACTCTTGTAACTCTTTACTTTCGAGCAGACAGTCAGTCAGTCAGTTACAATGTAGAACTTCGTACGTCAGTACATCAGTTCAAGTTGCTACACCACAACAGTAGAGAGATTAGATTGTCAGTTTAAATCCCATAGTGGTAGAGATAGTAGAAGTATTATCGGTTACGAAGAAGATTAGGGTTTCAAGATATCATTCAAAAAGTATAATTCAGTGAGATAAGTTTAGATAAAGAAAGGTAGAGGTGATGACGAATTAAGAAGATTAGAATTTCATAGAGCAACTGATAATAAGAATCTATTAATTATGAGTGAATTTATGTTTCACAAAACAAAACAAAAAAAAACATTTTATCAAATTAAAAACTTAAATATTTAAAAAATAAAACATAATTTAAATAAGGGAATCAATAATAATCACACAAAACTTTTGCTTACTTTTGCATTAAACAATAATTGAACTTTGTATGGAGATGATTTACTATGATGATTTGTTGTTGTTGATGATGATGATGACTTAGTTGGAATAAAACGACCAACATTCACTGGTTCATTTTTCAATTCATTTTCTAATTGTGATAGATATTTTTTCATTGAAAATGATTTTTTCACTTTAGATGAAATATTCATTGAATTGTGTTGATGAGATGTTTCATTATCTGATGAAGTGCACGAAGAATACGATTGGTTACTAGTTGTAGAATTGGTTCGATGACGAGGAATTAGAGATTTCTAAAAAGATTAATAATAATAATGATAGTAATAATAATAATAATGTGAAATCGGTGGCACATTACCGTATATAAACATTTAAACAAACAAATGGGGTATAAAAACGGAATGCATTTATGACCTCCTTAACAGTGAAATTCATTGAGTCGTTGTATGTCATATAACTATTCTTTTTTGAAATCATGAATCGATCAATGTTACACCACCATTATAAATCTGGAAGCACTGAAAGACGGCTGTTTCGTCCTGGTATGGGACTCATCAGCAGTGCGCACCCACGACTCGAATCCTGCTAGGTGCAGGAGTCGTGGATGAGCACTGCTGATGAGTCCCATACCAAGACGAATCGGCCGTTCAGTGGTTCTAGATTTATAATGGTGGTGTAACATTGATCAATCCATGATTTAGGTTCAAAAATGGAAATCGCTCTCAAATAAAATCTTTAGGTCAAAAAAGAAACAATTTACACTATCTAATATATGGGACAAAAACAATAATAATAATTTTTTCTGCTGGAATGACTCACAGATTTCAATTCTTTACTCTGATTCTCTAAACAATCCATAACATTCACACTCTCAGTCGAACTGGAAGATGTACAGTCTTTAAAATATGTTGAACATTCAGAATGAGAACCGTAAAGATCAATTAAATCATCATCATCATCACTGTCACTTATGAAAATATCATGTGTTTTCTGTTGTGATGAATTAAGTGAAGACAGACTCCGGGTTCCAAATGATCTAATATTTTGTGCCCTTGTAGGTTTCGTTGAAACTTTATTACTATTATTATTACTACTATTTGACAAAATTTTATCTAAATTGAATGATTCAAAAAGAAAGAAATTGATAATAAGTGCAGAAAAATTAGCGAAATTCACGTAATTAAATAAACAGATATTTTACAAAAAGGCAGTAAAAAAAATAAAACTTTATGATAACAAATTAGAACTGGTAGATAGCTTTATATGTTGTGTATCATGAACGTAATGAAACACCCTCAAATCCTCTGGCTCGTTCGATGATCGGGAAAGTGCCCCCTATCTTTTGAATGTTCTTTTACGGCCGTATATATTTATAATCACAATCACGAAATCCCTACCTACTTTGATTGTCCTGAGAGGAGTGTTATTTACGAGATTAAGGGCCTAAAAAGCGAACTTCTGGTGATAAACGTAGGTTTTAGATACGGAGGACCCACATAGAGGATTTGGAAACTGTGATGTCAAATCGATAGTGTGCATGTGCTTAATGATCACCAGAAGACAGTGTATGGGCCTGTCTTTAGGTCCTGACGTTCCATCTGAATGATTAAACTCTTAGTTTCAAGGTTCAAGGAATGACCTCCTTAGAAAATAATCTTTTTTATTTTGCACATGCAGTCAATATCCCGATGGACATAAACTTTGTACGAAGCATACTATTTTTGGTACCCAGTTGTAACAAATTTCAAATGCACATAGTGTGAATAATAGTCAGCAGTTTCAGAAAATGGCTAGAGTCAGAAAACGTGAACTTTCACATCATAATTTATCAACATAATTATTCATCAGAGTTATTTAAGCTTTTCAGCATGTACATAGTACCTTGTAAATCAAGCACCCATATATATGCATAAAATAGACAGCTAGTTGTGTGAAATTTGTATACCATAACTATACTACTTATGAGTAACTAGAATTTAGCTCTCCTGTTATCGGTTAATCTGAACTCATTGGTTGGCAAATTCATTATTCATGACGAACAAAATTCGCAAATATACCAAGTAGGCTTTTTAATATTATCATTGACATTGAAACTAACCATTCGCCTCAAGTAACGACTTCATAATATCGCCCATGTTCATAGATTCATGAGTTTTACCGACAGTAGAAAGACAATTTTCAGAGTAACCATTTTCAAGATCCTCTTCAATAGCATTTTCATCGTCTGAATTAATCTCTTCACTACTTGAAGTATTGACCATGTTAGAGATATCTTTTGATTCAGATTTTCGTTTAATTCCATGACTAAAAATAGTAACAGTGAGAAAAAAAAATAACAGACAACTAAAGTACATTTATACACAAAGTCTAGAATATTTCTTCTTTTTTTTAAAAAAAAAAAGCAATAATCGCATTATTTTACATGAATTAAACAATTCAGTTTATGTGATTTTATTTCACAGTTATAACTAACTATAAGGCAAGATGAAACAGTCAGCATTATAGATTGAATAAATTATTATGTATCATAATCATATTCAATATAATCAATACGAATTGAATCGATGTACTTAATGTGAAAGAATTCAACTAAAATCTCGGTCAGAGTCATGAGTTATATTTTATATGATGATTAGCAGTAAGCTGTTTTACAATTCTGGCAAAGAATAGGCACAAAAAAAACATAAACTGTGGAAATTAAATATTTTTATTTACCTGTAAGCTTTCTATTGGAAAAAATGGAGCTTCCTAAAGACTATCAACTCAAAAAGTACTATTTTCGGCATAACAAAGTCTTGAATATAGATATTTTCAAAAGCTTATAAATCATCGACTATACATACATACATCTACAAGTGTGATTATGTTGGTGAACTTTTGTTTAGCATAAAAATATTTTGATCAAAGTATGACTAACCTGACTGATTGGATCCCTAATATATTTTATCATAGTACTGTAGGATGGTTATTAAAAGGCTCTTAATTGTTTAATTGATTTTTTACTATCGGATAAAAGGCTATAGTTTGGTAACGGAGCGAGTATTGAAGAAGTTGGAATTTTTAGAACAATTTTATCGACTATTAGTGTTAATTTATTTATTGTATAATTATTAAGTAATTGCATTATTGTACTTCAACATTTTTCGTATTGTGAGCTTCCATCTGGCTTATTAACTGTTATTTCCCGTTTTATTATTCTCTAATTATTGTATGGTTTGCTCCGTTCTCTTTCACATATGGCTTGAGTGTAATGTGTGTATCCTTCCAAGACATTTCACGTCACTTGGTTTGTCTATTTATGTATGATAAACTTAGTCTCTTGATTTCAAAACAAAAATTATATCAATAATTGATAACACTGAAGATGACATAATATTTATGATTCCGTTGTGATCTAGTTCAGATACCGAACTAATCAAATACTTGAACTAGTCACTTGAGTTTTATATTTTCACTAACTAATTATATTATTTATTTACGAGCTTATATAAAAACATCAAAATCTAACGCTAAGCAGTGCTTTATAAACCAAGCGGGAATATCGTTACGACTAGTAAGAACCATTAAAAAGAACGAAATATAATCTTCAAACTGAGGATCGCCCACGAGAAAATCGAATTCTCTACGATCTCCCTTATCCTTAATTATATAATACAGTTATAGAGTAATTGAGTTGCAAGAATCCAAGTTGTGTAAATTGTATGACGATAATTCGACATCACAAGATGTCTTCAAGATTTTCAGCGACATAAAAGGTGTAGTGTTTATACGTTTTCAATTATTAGCTGATATCTATTTAATTTTGTTTATTCGAAGTTTCTAAATAATTTTAACAAATTGTTTCACTTAAAAATATCGTTCAAATGTTTAGACATATGTACCTATGCTCATATTGCCGAGATGTGACGTAACTAATGACTGCGCTTAGTCGGTACTTTTCCATTTCGTTGACAAGTCTATTGAAACTGCTGTTACTATCCTCTCTGAGAATTTGAAACTGTACTAAGAATATAGTATTGAATAAACGTATTACAATTACTATTATCAGTAGTTATTGTTGTAGTACTCATAAAAGAAGTCAAAATCATGAGTTACACATCGTTTGTGGAATAAATAACCAAATGATAAAAAAATTAAACTAACCGATTCTTTCTTAGCTCAACACCTTTAAAAGAAGACGACGATTTCATGAAATCTTGCAAAAGTGATGAAATCGACGAGCGCGATGGATCCGGTTCAGTAATTTCATTTCGCTCTAATAACATTTTATCTAACTCCTCTGGAGTAACAAACATCCAAGATTCATCTATGATGTAATAAAGTGATTAAATGACTGGATTAATTGATTTATAATTACACACTAACATATTTCTACATTTAGATCTAATTAATTAAACACTGAGTGCGTCAAATTGATAAAATCGACTAACAGCACACCGAAATTGCATTAGGATGACCAACAAATTATTGAATTATATTAATGTCAAAGACTAGTATCATAAAATAAAGTCAGTGAAGTTATTTGACACTTGATCACATGACAATGCAACTGTACCACATATTTATTTATTTTAAAATAAATAGCTTTATCTTTAAGACAGAGTTGCAAATTTTTACAACAAATGAAAAAATCACACTATAAGGTTAGTTCTTTATGAAAAACAAAATCAAGATTTCAGATAAGATCGTAAGTAAGTAAGTAAGTAAGATTGCTAGTAATTCAATTTGTACTGCTTGAAATAATGTTTAACTATAGAGAAAGACAAGAAACATGATATATTTTACATTAAACTCGTGAATCAATGATTGTTAGACCATCATTAGAAACCTGGAAACATTGAACGGCCATTTCTTCCTAGTACGGAAATCAACAGCAGTGCGCATCCACAACCCTCACCCGTGGGAATCGAACCCAGGAACTTCGGTCTCACGTGCGAACGCCTAACCTCTAGACCACTGAGACGACAGCTAAAGGTGTTAATGTCTAAATTCGATCAATCTAAGGATTTTGCGCAACCTCATCCACTGTCTGCCTACACTCGACAGAGTTGAACATGACATATGTATATAAAACATGAATTCCATTGTATGTCAAAATAATATAAACAATAATGTTTCCAATATACTACAAAGGCATACCATCAGCAGGAGGTAATCCATTCGTCTCTAAAGAATAACTTCTTTGCACACACGATGAATAACATTCATTATTCTCCATATAATTTAAAATGGAGTATAAAAACTGACTATGTTTTTGAAGGTTATTCCGTGTTTGTCCAGTGTATGACGAGTGATCAAAACTGCTACAATATTTTTTTTAACATTCATTAAAATAAAAAGAACCAAAAACGATTAACAAATACAACGGGTGGAATTATATAACTGTGAATAAAATATCATTATTAAAACAAGCGGATAACATATTTGTATTTTTAAAACAATGATAAAAATAACAATTCAACCGGCAAAAAAACTATGGATATCCACAGTGAAAAACAAATGGGTAACATAATAGTTTTAATCATTCAACTTTCAATCAGATTTCTAATCCAGCTTCATCTACTGCAGTCTAAACAGCCGCATCGTATCGCTAGTCTTCATACATTGAATGTATGAATGAGAACAGAGTACATGAACCTTAGAGACATCAAATACTTGATTACATTTTTAGATCTCATTATTGTGATGTAGTATGGGTTCATCGTTATTCTTTTGAATAACTTAATCGTAAACATTTTTATTATTGTGATGTCCCTGAAAAAAAAAAATACTGCATTATCAATGTAACTATTTTAGATATATACAACTAGATATACACTACTGTGTGACTAGTGGAATGAAAATAGTTATAACTACAGTTTAAACTGACAGACATTTTACGGACTATTTAGTTTGTGATTTGCTTTTCTGTTACAGATTTCTGATCTAGACTCACTGTATAGACTGCTTATGATAGTGATGAGTAAAGTAATGTCTAGTCTTTCCTTTGATCTTCTATATTTGGTCGTGAATCGTGTATAAGGTATAAACTGGTTTAGTCTGTGTATACTGTGTCTAGTAGTAGTAACTGGTCATATTATCATATAATAGTAGTATATAGAGGAAAACAAAAAAATATTTTTATTCAGTAGTTTTTGAATTTTTTTTTACAGTCAAACAACTATTGAAATGCATTTCATCTTACCGATCTTTTAAAAATGGACAAAATTTTATTACTTCAGTAGTGTCATTAATGGTCAAATTAACAAAGCACCTATTCTATGAAGCGTATATAAAGTACTTGCAAGTTTAAATTAGTTACACATTGGGACGCTGTCAACAGCATAACAACCCTGAAAAGTAATAAAATGTTCAAGCTGGAAAATTTTTTTGATTTACAAATTATGGTTACGAAATGCATGAAATCTTAATGTTAATGTTGAAAGACAAAAAAGGATAGTACTTTTGATGTTAATGATAATAAAATATATTCAATAATATTTTTAACCCTTACTATTACTAACAAGGTGTCACCACTAGACGTCAAAAATCCTTTGAAGAAAACAATAGTCAGAAACACATTGACTGACACATCCTTCATTTGAAAAAGTATGATGATGAAAACTTAGAAGTAATACACAGTTATGAATATAATTTGCACTGAAACATACCGACAAACTGATAGTTCAGGTGATTTTTCTGAAAGAAATTCAAGAAAATGCCATTGAGCTTGCTGTAGTAGTTCATTGTGCAACCAAGATTCTTCTGAAACACCCTAAAATAATAAAACATCTCTTCATCACATTCATAGGATAATAAAGTGAATTCCGTTATTCACACTACACTTTGTTTCATAACTGAAATTATTCAAAACAGTGTTAAGTGAGTTTAACATGTTAATATACTACAAGCTACAATTTTTAAGATATGAGGTTAGCGGCTAATCAAATATCTCCAAGAATTTTCATTTCGCCTTCTATTAATTATCATCAGCAAACATATATGTGAGAAATGTTTGTTTATAAGGGGTAGGTTTGAAGCTAGGAATAATCTGACCGAAGCGACATTAATTAGTGAATTCATTGGCTGGGGTGTGAACGCTGTTAACATATATCACTGTAGTCTGAGTGATAATTGAGGAAAGAGCGAACGAAATCGGTTACAGTGGTAGAAATCTAATCATTTTTCAATTAATAACTATTTCATTTTATTGTGTTGATGTGGAAACTCTGGCTGGAGCCTTTAGAAAGTTACTTACTGCCTCAAATATAACAAGACAGTAAGACATAGAATTAGTAAACTCATCCCGTAGAAAAGAACCTTGCTAAAGAAAAATAACCATGAAAGGATCACTTGAACCATTATTTAACGTGTCAGTGTGGTTGGGAAACTTCAGCTAAAGCATATGTTTGTGTCAAGTTTTATTCTAATTAGGACTAATTGGTCTCCAACAAGTCACTATTAAATTATAAAGTACGTAGTTAACTAGGTTTCGTAAAACATAACCACAACTTTTCAGTCAACATGAGTTAGTTAATTGATTTAAAGATTACTTTTCAGTAACTATAATCCCAATCTTGAACTTAATGTCTAATCAACTAGTTTCAGAGTGCTTCCTCATTATCTCACTATACAAATGATAAACCCATAAATTAGATTGAAGGAAACTAATATAACAGATCTCTTATAATCCTCAATGTAGATATTCGAAATCCTACTGATTGACCAAATTCAGATATTCCAGTACGACCACAAATACTGTTCCCAAATCTCCAATATATCAGAACACAACACCGTTAGATGAAGCTGTTTATGGGGTCGAGTACAGAAAGAATAGTAAGATTTACATACAGTTAGAACCAATAGGAAACAACATTTAAAGTACGTGACATTGATAGTTAGGACGACCAATAGAATCAGACTTACAAACAATTCCCTAAAGATATTTGATGAATATCCTAACGAGATCATGAAGATTGAAAATGATCACAAGAATCTCTAGTCAAGAAACCCACTCAGAATAATGAAGAAGTTCGAGTGAACCAAAAAGTCAAGATACACTCCTTATGCAAAAGTGGTAAATATCTTAACTTATTTTCCAACATAAATCAACCAGAAAAGCTTTTTATTTGTATCACCTAAATGACTGAATTCCATTTTCAGCTTCGGTCTTGCCTGCGAACGCCTAAGCTCTGGACCACTAGATCGGCATCCAACGGTGTTAATGTCTAACCCTGATTGATCTAGAGATTTTGCGTGACCTCACCCATATGCCTTTGGTAGTTCTGCTTACACCCGACAGGGTTGAACTCCACTGGTTACGTCTTCTCACTAGAACTCCGAGAATTTCCTCATGAACCCAGTCACTATTGAGCACATTTTACGATATTTTCAATAAACTGAAAGCAGTTCAAGTGATAAACGAACCAAGATATCAGCAACTATTACAGACTAAACAATAACCTGAAAAATATTTTAAACACTGTACACGTAAATAACGTAAATTTTCAAAGTCACAACGCATGACTAACATCACACTTATGGGCAATAACTCAGTCGAACTTCATCCTCAGTTGCACAAAATGACTATTGTTTCTTAATTCTTTCGTATATTCATCCTAAATACGAACCATCATCATTCACGAAATACGTGTCTAAAAACCTCACATATTATGATTCTCTGACATATCTACATATTAAGCTACCTAATTACTGTAGTGTTATATCACTTAGTTACTTACTGTGGGAGAGAATAAACCAGATTCCAGTAGAGGAGGAAATCAGGAAGAAGCGGTGGAAGTGGATAGGACACACACTACGAAAAACACCTAACTGCGTCACGAGACAAGCCCTCACATAAAACCCTCAAGGTCAAAGGAAAAGAGGAAAGCCAAGGAACACATTATGCCGAGAAATAGAGAAAGACATAAGAAGAATGAACGAAAATTGTACAGAACTGGAAAGGGAAGCCTAGGACAGAGTTGGTTGGAGAAAACTGGTGGGCGGCCTATGCTCCATTGGGGGTAACAGGGGCAAGTAAGTAAGTAAGTAATATCGCTTAATTAAATCTAATAACCATGACAGGCCTCTAAAGCCACATAGTTGTAGTTTACTTCCATGATCGTAAAAACAAGCTTACAGTACTGTGAGTGCAATTTATTTTTTACACTGTCAAAGTCACCAACGTAAAACCAAGAATACCATAATCAGACTAAAGGAGATAACCGATCTTACGAAACCAGAGAGATTTTAAAGGTTGTTATTTTCCGAATCAGCCATCAATACAGAAATAAAAGGCTGAGTAGCTAAGCTACCGAAAATATTGAGAAAATTACCTGAAAATAACCGCTACTAGTTAGTCTTTCTAAAAATTTATTCCATTTCTCTTCAGATTCCCCTGGAGCCACGAAATGTGGAGTAAAATTCGGATCTTCTTCATGTTTACCAACATAGTTTAACAAAAAATCAAGTCCAATGCACTGAAATAGAGTTAGAAAACTATTGAAATTAAAAAACATTTGAAATTGTTTCCTTAGTAATGAAGAAAACAATTTTAACAAAATAATAACCAAAGTAAATGATTTCTTTTAAACAATACATCATGTACTATTCCGCTAAATTGTTTATATGAAGAAAAACATCATTCATTAAGTGGGTTGAATAATCCAAGCGACAGCTGCTTAGGACTTCAGAAATACTGAGTCCAAGTGCTAACTAGGCAGGTAATATATACAGGAGCTTACATACTTCTGAACAAAGATTGTAAAACGACCTCGAATTTGCGGCATCGAATTCTAACAAATTTTTTGGCTTAAAACAACAATAAACTTTGAGCTCTAAGGACAAGCTAAGATTGAAGCGTCACATGTACTAATGATTTGAGAGGAAAACTATCCAACTAAGCCAAACACAAGCTCCTGGTTGACTTCCAGGAACAATACCAAGTTCGGAAAACCTATCAAGTAGAGGACTGAAAATATTATGCATCAAGAAAAATTACTGAACTTTACATAAGGTTAGTGGAAAATATAAGTAGTTCTACATATGTTCAAAGAAATAACAACCAGTTGGGTGTTGTGATAAAGCAACTCCAAGTGAACCCAGACACGAGCTACTTTCACCATACGCGTCAAGCTCCATAAGTATAACTTTAAATAGCTATCAGGTTTGAGATATTTCTATCAAAGAATCAATTTGAATCGAGAGCATTATAGAGCTGAATGTTTTATTTTCTTCCGAAAATAATGGAATTAAGAATAACTAGGAAAAGTCAAATATAATTCCTAATGTCATAATCCTAATTCACTAAAAGTACTTTCTAGCAGTTCGTCTAATTTACTATGAACTGGTTTTTGCTTGAAACAGAATCTCGCCAGTAATTCTTAAAAATTGGAAAGTCCTTTCAGTATAGGCAAGCAGTTATCAGTGTAGATAAAAGATACCAACCTACAGCCACTAGGTTGGAGGTTTGAATCCTATAGCACCTACTTTATTGTGGGTACATAAGTAGGACGACTAACCTTCACACACAGTACAACCCAAAGCTAAGTAATGGATAAACCTTTACTTACAACATATGCTTTATTACATAGTTTTAATGGTGAAAATGATGATAAATCAGATCAAAAAGATACATGGTAATATATCTAAACGCTCGAAATGCATTCTTATTCTGAATAATTTTGAAAAGCTACTTGATATACACTCATCAAATTAGGCAACGGCAGATACATGCATACAGTGAGAATTTTGTGTGCTTCAATATTGGGTGTTAACTTCTGGTGATGAACAAGATTAATTAATCCAATCTGTAATGAACTTAAACTTAGATCCTTAATTTAAACCAATGGGGAAACAAAACAATGACTTTTTGAGTCTCAATTCTGAATAAGCAGAATAAAAAGAAATGCTGACACTGGAGAACATATTAGTCATCAAGTGGATAAAAACTAAAATGACCAATCAAGGACTATTTTAAACTCTAAACGATGTAGTATACATTTAAATTCTAAGAAACAATAGTTTCCAACACAAATGGCTAAAAATGATCATTTTAGTAATGAAACTTGATAAACTTCTATAACAGTCATGTGTGTTATTGATACAGTTGGATTAAACTTTTGCTTAGTCCAATAAATTTTAATGGAGGTAAATTATATTACTCGAATTATGTGTATTATATGTTTGATTCAAATTTACTTGTATCATCTAGTTTATTCTAACACTAACAACAGAATGATCGACTATGCAACTTACAGGAAATTTATTTAATAAAATGATCTGGTGAGTAAATGGACATCGTAAATCGGTCGGTGGAACAATATAATGGTTAATTCATATGTGTTGGTTGCTTAAATCTTCTCATTGATATTAAGGATTGGATGTTTAGTGGTTAATTATAAAACATTGGTTTTAAACGCACCACCTTGATTATTAACCTTTACAAACAAAGCTTTTTTTCCAAAAATAAATGACAAGATTAAGAAGTTTACCGAGCGATTTCTGAGAATCTATCATCCCGAACATCTACTTTTAAGAACACCGTTCACGTTTGCGATTAACGATACCAACATGCATAAAGAAATCGGCACGCTCACTCATAACTCGCTTTAAACATCGATACTGTGTGTTGAATAGTGAGGAGTTATATCCAAATTGTTGGCTTAATGATTAGACAGTATCAGAAGATGGGTGATCACATGGGTTCTGTGGTAGAATTAAATCGCAATAATTATCTAGCTCATTTGGACCCGATTTTCAAACATCATCTTTAATGACAAAATCAAATTTAAGTAGATCCTCACAACGCCGAAACCATATTTCAAAACTAACATCGACACTAAAATACACGTGGAATTCGGTAATATTGTTTGCAATGTCATCAATTGACGGTGTAGTAGTAGAAGTGGACGTGTTAGGTTAGGAGGTAGACGTAATTATCGTGTTTACCCAAAGTTTTAGCTGCTTGACTCAGACATAAAACTGACCAGTTTAAAATACCTGACCACGAAAAATATATTTCAACAAATGTCTGAACAATTTAACCAATGAGAAACAAGAAAATAGGAATGAATCCTACTTACTGATAATATAGTCATAAAACCAGAATTTAACCCCCATACTTAATCGAAGATGGTTGGGCTATATCGTGAATTGATTGAAGTTGGACATGTAGATCATTGGATGAGATGGCTCAGTGACTTAGAAGTTAGGTGTTCGTATGCGAAACCATAAGTCCTGGGTTATATTTCTGGTAGGGGTCTTAGATAAACGCTGCTAGGAAGTTCAATACCACGACTAAACAGCTGTGCAGTGCCTAATACTGGTAGTTTGGCTTGGATCATTCTGGGATGTAGTCTATGAAAACTTGCCAATCTCTAAAAAAACCCCTATATTAATGGGAATCAGTTTTTTAAATACAGCTTTACAGGATATCTTAAAACGAAACAAGTATACAACAAACGAAGTTGGTGTTAAGACCAAACTTTATTTATAGTCCACTGTTCAAAATTACCTATCACAAATTGTATCTTCGTAGTAAAGACAGATCCAAATTACAAATAAATAAAAACTAGTTCAAGAGAAAAAGCACAAAAGAAGGCAAATTGTTACTTTAAGAGACTAATAAACTACGTGAACTAACCAACTTTAATCCAAGTTCAGCAGCTAAACGACCAGAAGCCAGATTATCATTGGGAGGTTGTTCGAATCCGCTTGGCGTAGGTAAAGAACGCAGTAGAGCGTAACGAAGTCTGTTGAATCGCATCGGGATTGTTACATACGAATTTGAGAAGTTAGATATTTTTGGCCACTTCGATTTACGAGCACCACTTTTATTCTTGCAACGGTTTGCAAAAATGGTTAAGCTATTATTAAACAGTTTTAACCATGACTGGACAGCAGAATGTTCAGAAATTTTATCAGCCAGAACATCAATGGATGAATTAATTATATCCCTCGGACTAAAAACCGTCAAAACAGCTGCAACCGGATATGGAACAGTAATATGAGCCAAATGCATAGTATTAACGAAATCTGGATACCTTGAGAGGAAAGTTAATAAAGTATCAGCTGAGCACTAGTAAATCATATGTGTATAGTATAGTTATCACACATCGTTTAAACAACCTGTGTAATTTATATGATTGATGGATTGTGGCCCATCTAACTCTGTTTAAAAGAACTGACATTTGCTTAAAACTACTAGAATGATAATCCCAACTGTATCTGCTACCTTGACGTGGTGGTCGGACATGCCTATCGTGATGACCCGACCGAGCTATACTGACTGAAACATATGTTCCTGTATGTTCTACCATGCCAAGCAAGTCAACTGGAGAACGGTAAGACTAAGAGCAGCAACTCAAGGTCTGAGGGCGAAGTTGCACTGTTAACTATATATGGTTGTGACAATAGTAGGGTGTTTTCCTCAGACAACCAGCATCTGCAGCGATGCTGCCTTCTCACAAGGAAGGAAGGGTTAGAAAAGGTCGACCCTAAAAATGTCACACCTCACCTTACCTCACGGATTTTCGTCACCGGCGATAGGGTCACTTGAAGAGCGGAGCTAATACTTTAAAAACTTATCATAAAAAGGCCGTGCGTGACCGGCCTCAAGCAGTTGTCCGTTGAGTTCTGCGGCCACGCTCCAAGGTCGCTAAGACCAACACTAATCTACCTTTCCCTTCAAGTTCCTCAAGAAACGCCCATCCACAGTGTGGGCAGCCGGGAAGTGACATCCGCCTTCATACGCGTAACAACACACGAGACCAAATTGGTCACAATTAAATCACAAATCCTAGAATGATAATACGGCTCAGTATTTATTCATGGTCATGCGCAAGATTATAAGTTTAGTATGCTCACTCTATGGAACCACCTTAAAATATGTTGCGAAATCGATTTATACTTTTAGTTATCAGTTCACAGCTATCTTAGTAGTAATTACGTTATCCAGGTATTTAGAATGATACAAACAAAACTGAACTGACAGTAAAATTAATTATGTATGTACATACATACACATACAAACTATATACATGATAGGATTGCGATAATGTAAATACTAGTGTCATACACAGATGAGTCAAAATCATTTCCCGAATAAGACCTACATACCTACGAGAAAGTAACAGCAAAACATGAAATGTTCATAAGGAGGTCCTATGTCACAATCTAAACCCGTGGTTTCTGTTTCAACGAATATCAGTCGAACAAAAAGTTAAGGTTTATAATAGTAGTAAATAACTTTCAAAGGTACATTGGTGGATACAAAAACGGAACATACTTTTTTATTTTCGCCTGTATACCAGCTTGTATACTATTTGATATAAGAAGTGCAGCTTTGTCGAAATTTCTGAAAGTTTCTAATGCACTATTCAATGTCATTTTTAACTTTCTTTCTTTGCAAATAATACATAATTTTCCTTGATAAAACCAAACCTAGTTATCTATAATAAAAAAGAAACATTTACTTACACGATTTTCGGCATTCTCAGGATTTATCCAGTTCGGTAAATGATTTGCACATTCGATAAGAAGAAATTCACCATCTTCGTCAGTAACTCTAAATTTTTTTTAGAAAATGGGCATTGAACTAACTGAATAATAACAGATGGATCTAATTTGCTTATTTCGGACAGCATCCAAACAATGAACCATTCATCTTCAACACTTTCTCCACAATCGACATATCCAAAAAGGAAGAATGAATCAGCAGCTATCGAATTAGATCACTAAATAGTAAACTTACACGTTGAATGAATCCATAACTTGAAAGGATCTTTGTACCATTGATACTGAATGCACCATGAGCTTAAAAATTCAATATACTCATTTCTTTTGTGACTAGCAGCACTCCTATCAGTACTATTAAGAAATATCAGTTTGTAACTGAGACAATTCGGCATTTCTGGAAGTTACGAAAACGGAACAGAATTTAAAACCGTATGTATTTTTGAAATAGTGAAATCTTTCAAGTAACTGAACAAGTCCGAAAAACAGAACATTAAAAAATTAGTGCAGTGAATGGAATTGAATCTGAAAGACAGACAGACAGACATACAACGCAGAACTTCGTACGTAAGTACATCAGTTTAAGTTGCCATACCTCATTAGCAGAGACGCAACTGCCAGTTTAAATCCAAGAGTGATAGCGACAGTAGAAGTATTAGCAGTGATGGAGAAGATTAAGGAGCGAAGACATGATTCGAGAAGTATAATTCTGTAAGATAAATTTAGAAAAGAGAAAGATAGAGATGGTGAGGAATTCAGGATGTTAGAATTTGAGAGAACACAAAGAGTGGATGCACCTGCGCCATTGCAAACGATTTTGAGCCATGACGTCCAACATCTTTAACCATCAGTGACTTTCGTCTCGCAGACCCCAACCAGGTAGCCTACATCTACCAACATCATTCAGTCCACTTGTCAGTGATTTCATAGATTCGTGCCATGTTTTGGCTTAGCGGCCCCTAGCTTTGCACCAACCTAGTCCTACACTACGAAACAAAGCTTGTCGAGGCAGTCGGTGGTTAGGTATGCGTAACACATGTCCCAACCACCTCAACTGATGAAGTTTCACTACTTCATCTATTGATTTGCCATCCCTACCGAGAACTCGTTTCCTCATGACAGCATTGCTTATACGGTTGTCCCAAGATACACGAGCGATGCTTCGGATACACCTATGATCGAAGACTAGTAACCTACGAATGTCCTCTACTATCACCGGCCATGTTTCGCATCCGTATAGTAGGACGGAGCGAACTGCTGCGCAGTACACTCGTCCTTTGGTCAGCAAACGGATATCTCGCCTGCACCATAAATGACGCAACTTGGCAAAAGCCAATCGTGCTTTCTGTATCCGTGCCGAGATTTCCTCAGTCGCCAGGCCACCAGCACTGATGAGACTCACCAGATAAGTGGAGCGGTCAACACGCCCGACTACTTCACTCCCTACCACTAGTTCAGGTACCGATGAAACTCAATCTTGAAGCAACATTTTGCGTTTCGACGGGGGAAAACTGCATTCCGAACATGCTTGAATTGTTGCTTAGGGTCGTCAGAAGACTCTGCATTTTGTCAGCGTCTTCACCGAATAGAACTATGTCTTCAGCATCAGTCAGTCAGTCAGTTGCAACGTAGAACTTCGCACGTAAGTACATCAGTTCATGTCACCATACCACATCAGCACAGAGATATAATTGTCAATTCAAATTCCAA